TCAGACCACTGACGTCAGTCAATGGAGTTGGTACACAGGCTGAGATGTAAGCAGGCTGCTCGGCCTATAACGCTACATTAAACATCCCGGTCTGTAAAACACACATTTTATTGAAACTATTGTTGTGAATACGCGGAGATTAGTTTTTTTACAGTTATTGTGGCTGGGGGGGTAAACGTACACCACTGTTTTGATTTCACGATTAGTGGAAATCCATTTATATTCCCAGTATTATGGTGAATACTGTTATTTGAAAGCAAAGAGACGCACTAAAAAAAAGTCAGAGTCAACAGCGCCATAAAACAATTTTGTATCGTTACTTTCATAGCCTTTGGTTTAATTTGCCGGGATGAATTATTTCACTGCATGGCGGGCAGGGGTTGTAAAATGGCAAAAAATGAGCTATAAAGTGATCAGGGTTATAGAGTAAACACGGACGATAGCTTTAGTGGCATTAAAGTTATAATTACCTCCAGTTACCATAATTCATACCCAGAATTACTGGCACTCACGCATTACATGCATCGAATGTCGCAGTTCAGGTGAACCTGAGTTCCATTCTGGGCATGGACTGGCTATCCTGAGGTACTGGTCGATTCTCCTCAGCCTTAGGATATACAGTGTCCTGAGGAAAAGGCTGTAATGGGCAGCTGAATCCAGTTCTCTAGCTTCCAGATTACCGCTGCAGTGCACGACTTTGTGACACCTGTTCATAATTTTGTCAAATTTATTATTAAATATTTTATTACATGTTACTTGTATTTAACGAATTAACATGTAACTTACTTAGGGTCTGATGAATGTTAACGATGACTGCTCTTCCCAAACACCTGATTTCCCATCTGGCTTTGTTCTTCGTGATAACAGTTTTTTTAACTGCAGCGTTTACTTTCAGGACTGAATCAGTCACAGTTGAAGACTATTACAAAAAACAATTCCTAATGGTTCTTCGTTACAAACTGGTTACTTCTTGTGGATTAATTGACTCGGAGCATAATTTACGTTCCTACAAAGGCGAATTCAAGATCACGATTGGCAGCATCAGTAACACGTATTAGGAAAGAATACATATACAGTCTGTGTGCAGAAATCTTTAGGAAAGCAACTGCTAAAAACAAAGACAGAGATAGGTGGATAATATTAAAACGGATAAGATTACTAGCGAAACTGACTGTAAGGGTGGCACGTGGATGTAACTGACTCAAGATCACGGCCAACGACCACTTTACAAACCAAAAAGGAGATGATAAAATAATAGACTGGATTTATGTTTGTGACGGAATAAGCTGATAAACCTGGCTCAGGATAATAGCCAATGGCCACTACAAAAAAAAAACCATGAAAAAGATAATATTAAAGTGTATCTTAGGAAACAGGTTTTGATGATGGGAGGCAGACTGTTGCATCCTTGAGTTTTCCTATCATAGGCTTATATCACTCAGAAAGTAAAAAAATATTCCATATCTTTTCGAACACATGAAGCGAAACAAAGAAAAACGACTGGGCCACTGATACATCAGGATTCAAATCCCATTCAAATTCGATGCGGTCCCTCGCGAGTTTATACCTCGCTCCAATCACGTGATTCATGTAATCCTTGAACATGCGAGGAGGGCTACGATAATGTAACATATACGTAATTTATTTGCTGTGCTTATCCCACAGCAGTTACCAAATCCCCTCTTGTTTATGAATAGACAAATAGCAGAGGGACACAACGTGAAGCAAATAGTCCACCCTCAACGCATAATAATCTCCTTGTGTGCAAGCCGATCTATTATCAATGTCTGATTGACTCTTTGACACTATGGACAGCATATCAGGTCTTACAATTGTCTATGTTTAATTGATAACCCCAAAGACTGATTACCTATGGCAGTGGCTGGTTAAATTACTTTGTATTCACATAGCCAGGTGACCATTCTATATGTTAGTTAATTTATTATGTACGGCATGCCCCCTCGTTACAGACTTTAAGGCTACACATTTTCGCTGTTACGGAAATTATAAAGTATGATTATAAAATTCGTAACATAGACCCTAAATTCCACTTTATGGAAATTTGGACTAAATATATTCAACTAAAATTCTTAAACACAAAATGCCAAACAATAACAAAATTCCGCAACAATTCAATTTTAAATGAGTGATCGTTTGTAAGATTTGAGGTTTTCAAGGCGGTGACTATGAAGAATGCCGTCCTCAGGGACATGGCGCCGTGTAGATCTTGTGTAAACCGACGTTTCGGAGGATCGTATCACCTCCATCTTCAGGTTATAAAAATCCGCGAGCGAGGAACGAGCTTGAACAGATGGGTGCAGCTGATTCCTCGCTAACAGATTTTTCTACCATGAAGATGGAGGTGATACGTTCCTCCGAAACGTCGGTTTACACAATATCTACACAGTGCCACATCCCAGAAGACGGCATTGTTCGAGTGATCATTTGTTAAGAAATTCGGATCGCATATACAGAATACAACGGCGACACACCGCGATGGTGTTAGTCTCTGCGTGCACATCAGTGGTTACTAGACTCTGCAATGTTACCGTTATTTATGTCTGTATCTATTATTACTTGCGATGAGTAAAAATGTGCTTTTATTACAGCTCAGAGCGAAAAAGAAGATTCTGCAGGACTACGTCCCCATAAAAAGAAAGTCCAATAAATAATTTAAATACAAGGGAAGAAACCCCCTTCGGGGAAAATATATCCATTCTGCATTAATACACTTGAAATAAAGAACATGAAAGATCCTAACCCCCAAACAATAAATAGTTTGAAAACAAAGGAAAATATTCCCTTTAGGCAATGTACTAAATCGTCAGATATTTTTACAGTAATCTGAATAAAGGAATTTATGGGCAATCTATTAAAATTATATCTGCTCGAAATTCAGGTTCTGTTCCCCTTAATATTTTCGTGTGGAGCTGTGTGAGTGAAATTCTATTTCAATGAAGTCTGTATATTTATATCTTCAACATAACAGGTTTCCAGTTGTTTTTAAATTTACTGTAGGGCTATAGATTTAATCAATTAAATATGATACACATAAAATAAATAAAATCTGAGGAGGAAGAAGAATAAGAGGAAGAAACAAACAGTAATGCTAATAAATGCAATATCAGAAAGTATTTTGGAATCTATGTATTTTGAATCAGCGATGAACTAAAGATGAGAACTGCTGCAGGCAATCAATATTATTATGGTTCACAAAATATTTTTAAGTCTAGAACTGTGAGCATAATATCGAGAATTTGAATATAGGACCAATGTAAAACCAGCTGTGGTCTATGGGTGAGAAAGACAGACCACAATTCGAAAGGATAAAGTTACGTTAAATACATGGGACAGTTAACATTTTCAGGAAGGTGTACAGGCCAATGTCTGGAAAATCAGAACCAATCACGAAGTATAGAAACTGTATATATATACCCTGATCTGGTAGTGGAATGCAAAGGAGATGACTGCAGTCGTTGGGGAATGTGACTGGAATGGATCAAACAAGAGTGGGTACGGAAAATTTTGATAGTAAACCGGAAGACGGAAGAATGTGGGAGGGACGACACCGAGAAGACTGGAAGACGCAGAGAATTATTTATGACAGCTGAAATTGAACAGGTGGAGACAAAAGGTAAACAACAGAGATGAAAGAACATATGTCACAAAGGAGTCCAAAGTACTCTTATATGACCCTAGAGGCAAGGAGTAACTAAGTAAGGGTACTTGCACACTGTGTCACAGCTGCGGATGCCTCTGTTACAAACAGGCTGCCTGCTAGTTCATAATGAGTTTTCGATATGGGCCAAGCGATCGCAATGTTTAACTGTCACTTAATTTTTTAAATGTATGTCATTTATGAAAGATTTCTTAGAATGAATCCACATTTACTCATTGAAATGTATGGTTTTGAAACATGTCTCTCCTAAGTCCATTATATTGGTAGAATTCACGATATTATTTTGTTACCGGAAAAATGTTCTTGCTTTTGGTATTACCAACAGTACTTATGCCTGAAGAGTTCTATCTTCTGGGATATAACGCTGTGTAGTCTGCTACACAGAGGAACATGCCGCCTGCATCTTCAGTGTCTGTGAAAAAGCCAAGCAAGAAATCTGCATGACGGAGGTAGCAAGCAAAGCTTTGTGTTGTATTCTTGCTTGGCTTATTCATTTAACCAGGAGGTGGAGGCGACAATTTCGCCGAAACGTCGGTCGATTTTCAACGGACTACATGGCATTATAGCCGGAAAGATGGAACTCTTCATACCCACCGATGCGAGAACTTCGCGTCTAAATAGTTATGTCTGTTTTATGTTCTGTAGACATTCAGAAGCAATATAATATCCAGAGAGAAATTAGAAGTATACAATTAAATATTATGTATTAATAGAATGTTAATTCCACATCATTCAGCTTAAGTAGTAGATCATGGGTCAATTTAAATATGATAATTGTTGACAGAAGTCTTTCGATATTACTTCAATGTGCGCATTGTAAACTGGGAAGAGAATTTTTTCTTATCAACAGTCCTATCTAAAATTTAAAATAGTTGGTCCAGTAATTTGAAACTGTTTCATCTTCAACAACGGAAAAAAAAAGAATTTACACTGTCACTTCTTCTGTAAACCGATTTTTATCGTCTAAATTGATAACAATGGCATGTGTTCTTGCGTGGCCGGATTTTAAATTTCTATTATTGCTTCCCGTATTATTGGGGCTAGCACCTTCTGACGAGGACTGGCTATGAGCTGCTTTTCCTGACGCCATATCCGCTCGGTTATCATCAGTTGGTTCCCCTTTCTCAACATATCTGTTACATTCTTTCCGTTTGTCGACATCACCATCACCACCGGATTTAGTCCTCTTTTTACCACCACCACTATTACTACCACTACCACCACCACCACTACTGTTTCTTGATTTACCAACATTACCCCTCTTTTTACTACGAGAGCCACTACTACCGTCAGCAGAAGAAACTTTTTTACAAGTACTTGCCATTTCAAGGTCCACTCGTCTGACACCCGCCTCACTGACATCTTCACCATCCTTTCCCTTATGATTGCGCAGTTGCCTCTCACTTGTCGGAGTCACGGATGGATCTCTTGAGTACGTTCTACCACCTGTTTCCGTAGTAGGCCCTCCTGAGTCATTCACTGGCATGTTTAAGTTGGCAACGCTAATTCGATGCGTTATCGGTAATCTTTCTTGGAGAGGAGTTTCAGAGTCGGGGCTAGAAACAAGTGAACTACATTTTGATTTTGGCGGACTTCTTGTATGGTTTGTGGCGTCCAATGGGATTGATCTGACACTAATGTCATCTGCTGCCACAGTAGCACACACTATCTTGTCAGTGACGACAGCCAATACGTTGTTAAGTTTCAAATGATCAGCGGTTGTATTGCCACTGGGTGTCTCTGCTTCAAGTAGTCCTTCGTTGTAGTTCTGTTTGGCAGCTTCTTGCATTGCTGTGATTTTAGCTGCCAGATGTCTGTTCCCTAGCCTCATGTTCTTCTCCTTCAGCTGTTCAAGTTGCGTGTAAAGTCGCTGAAACTCCTCCTGCAAACATGGAGCCAGATATCAAATAAGTTGAAAAACATTTACCACTGATAAGGCCATTTTAAAGTTCCACAGAATTACACACTATAAAAAATCATAAGGCCTAGACTGAGATAGTGTAACGATGTACAGGATGATCTGCGGGAGCTGGAAGCAAAGAGACAGACTCAAAAGATATATAAGAAAGTATAATGGGGACCTATTGCACAGAAGCCTAAGTTTCTCGGAGGACTGCAGAGCCAAGAAATAAGTAAGTAAAGAAAGACACACTCCATGTTTCAATACCATGAGCTTGTACTGTAAGTTTCTTACTCTGCAACCAGAGATGAAACAGCTTCATAAAGCCCAAGAATGTAAAAATGTGTTGTCAGGTCAGAACTACCACACCTCAGGGGATGATGAAAGACGAGTACGGAGCAATGGTGGAGCAAGGCGAAACTGGAGAAATTTGAACGAAAACCTGCTCCAGTGCCACTTCATGTACCATATGTACTATATGTCAAGACTGGATCTAGAAGTGAGCACCAGGAGATAATTTGCAAACAACTGCACCTGTACATCCCTAATTTTACTAAATTTGAATGTCATTGCTTCATGCCATGTCTGAACCATGTGCTGTGACATAGCTCAGTCAGTCAGGCGGTATAATCTAAGCTACTGACACTGTTGTTAAACAAAGTATAAAGAGAGAAACGAGAGACATTTTTGAATTTCATCCACATACCGCGTACATTCAGTGAATTCATTATACCTGTACAACAGTGAGAAAATTAAAAAAAGTCTATTACAGCGACATGTAGGGATAATGGAAACACTGTGCTGTATCTGTAAGCATCATTTGGGCACATACCTGTACGTCCATCTCGTTGAGCTTCGCATACTCCTGCACCCCTGCTGTAGATGAGTTGGTGGAAGGGGCGCACTGGGAGTTGCCTGACCTGGGTTTTGCCAGGAACTTCGCTGCTTGTGGTTTCGGGATGGCGCTTGAACTCTCTTCGGACTTGCCATGCCCCTTGAACACCATGTAGGCCTAGAAAAGAAGTTTTACACAGTAAAAAGTGGAACAGTGCAAAACGACCTCATGGTGCAAACTTCCTCTTACGAAGTTTTCATGCTGTGATGTTTATTTAAGCACAGGGAGAAATTCACCTGAACCATTTTATGCACTTCTCCTACTTAGGTGAACAGAATCCGTCTCAGTCAATTCAATGAGCGCTACTCTATTTGAAGATATGCTCATAAAACAAGGTACGTCAATAACATAAAGATGCTCGCAAAATAGAAGTTTCGATCTGCGAAACCCCTATGGGAACAGACAAAGAGATCATACTCATGCACTGATCAATCCATACTGCAGATGACAGAAATAAGAGGTGCCCCCAAACGGAATGTCAGTTCCTGGGACATTAATGTCAAGAGTACAGAGCATAACGCGCACATGCATTAATCTGAACTTAATTCAAAACGACCATGCGTACATTCTAGGTTACAATGCCGTTTTCTGAGATGAAAAGTCAATCGCAGTTTCGGAGGAACATGTCGCCTCTATCATCAGGGTTGGAACATATGAAAGAAACAAGCACGAAGAAGGCAGTAAGCAAAGTTCTGATTTTCAGCTGAATACACTGCATTATATCATAAGAGACAGAAGGTTTCATGACCACAGCTGTGAGAAACTCGACTCCCACACGCATGTGTCTTGATTCAAATGGCAAATATTAATAATGTTTGATCCAATGAGTGGATATGAACTCACGCAGCAGACAAACTCGTCCGTGAAATTGATTTTGACTTAGCATTTCGTCGCCTTCTCTGTGGCTGATTGCTTTAGTGAGCCCCTGCGAAATTTGTGACGATATTGCATTCTGGGTAAACGTGACACTACACGATTTGCAATGTTTGCAAATCTTCTGAGCGAATTGTTGAGTCAGGTACTGTAGACGCCATAAAGCCCTCAAGGAGCAAAAGGCGTCTTGACGACATTCAACATCATGTGTAGGGTGAGGGTAAGTTGTTCCTGCTTAATTAAGCACCATATCATGAAGGCACATGTGCGAGTGGATCTATAGCGTTCTTAATCTCAGCATTAGATGGAGGTGAGAGGTCAGCTTCACCCTCCGACCACTTTACCCATGGAACCACACATATCCTTCGGCTGAGCCCCACAGCCGGTCTAGACGCTGCAGGGGAACAATCGTGTTCTGATTCCCCAGTAGTCCGGCCCATACCTAGTCACTGTACTGACTGAGCCATCTTGGCAAAAAGAAATGCATGTATGCTTAAGTAAATAAACTAATTAATTAATTAGTTTTACGTCATAGCCAAAAGTGAAAAATGAAGTTTGAATTGATAAGTAAACATGTCGACTTTTAGACATATGTGAGATAAATTATGAAGGCCTACATTATTACACTCTAAGGCGTGCACTGTCTTCGCTCGCTCGGAAGCCGGGATCGTGGGTTCGAATCCCACTCAGGGCATGGATGTTTGTGTGCGTTTTTCTGTGTTTGTCTACATGTAGAGGCCTTGCGACGAGCTGATCACTCGCCCAAGGAGTCCTACCGTATGTGTAAGATCTAGTAAACCGAAGTGAAACGGAGAGTTTCATGGAGGTAGGCCTAGGCCCAAATTGGGGCTGTAGCGCCACAGGAAATAAATATTATTACGCAGATAAACGTACAGATCAACCAACAATGAATTAAATATTGAGTGCGCAACTTCACGTACTCACAGTCCAATTATAACATCCAACACTGAAAGTATGAAGTGCAGCTTTTAAGAGAAACTTCTAAATAAGCATTTTTCATTAAACAACAACTGCTGATGACAGGGATAATATTCTTGTCAGATCCATCTACCGGGAGAATGTACACTAATACGTAATATCACACATAACTCCCGTGATTTTGAGGTACAGAGGGAAGTAAGGAATACATCTGAACATCACGTGTAAGATTTGAGGTTTTCACGGCGGTGACTATGAAGAATGTCGTCTTCTGAGGTATGGTGCCGTGTAGATGTAGTGTAAGCTGACGTTTCGGAGGAACGTATCGCCTCCATCTCGCCTCTACCCTGAAGATGGAAGCGGTAAGTTACTCCGAAACGTCGGTTTGTACTAGATCTACATGGCGCCACATCCAAGAAGACAGCATGCTTCAAATCAGAACATCACGTTTATAATCACTGTGAGGTGGAAACAAAAATGCTTTAGAATACCGTATACTTACTCCTCGCCAAATACTATTAGTATGCTCAAATCAAGGGTGAAGAACTGAGAAGAGAACTTAGGACGCATTGGAAAGAAAAGGAGAGCATACAGAGTTTTGCTGCGAAATCCTGAAGGCAAGAGACCAGACGTAGGCGGGGAAAGTTTCAGAATGGATTTTGGCGCTGTGTACTGGATTCATCTGGTCCAGGGTAAGGACCACTGGCGGGCTCTTGTGAACACGGTAATGAACCTTCGGCTTATATGTGATGTGGGGAATTTAACGAGTGGCTGAGATGCTATTGACTTTCCAAAGACTCAGCTTGACGGAGTTAGTGAAGCGACAACACTTTGTTAACCCTTTCAGTGACATCTCCCTTACCTTGCTGCCGAAGATGAGGCACAGCAGAAGCGTGATGGTCAGCTGCGTGTGACAGAAGAAGATTATGTAGAGAAGATCTGGGTTGGCGGGCTTCTGCAAGAACAGCCTGAAGCATCCAGACAGACGGCCATTAATTTTAAACACTGCATAAACCGAGAAGCAAATGTAACAAAAAGTTCGGCTCTGCTTCGACCAACAAAAACTACAAATAATAAATCAACAATTTAGAGGCAAGCTTCTGTACATAATGGAGATTTGAAGTTCTGACGGCAGTTAATAAGTACATTATTATGAGTATTATCCGGGATGCAATGCAGAACATGAAGGGAGAAGTTTTATTCGAGTATTTGGTAACTACGTACCAGATTACATGGCGTTGCATCTTCTGTGCAAAATCTCCAATTTCGTTAGGTTTACTCCACATAACGTCGTAATATCTCAACGTTATAACATGTGTACCTCTTAACGTTAAACTATTTCATACTGAGTTTGGAAGTTACGTTTATTACTTGTCTCCGCAACACATCTCACAGGCCTAGCTCCAGTGGTTCACTACTCATCTCTGTGAAAGCCAAAGGCACACATTACACTGCACGAAAGCCATGCTGTTCTGCCTTCAAAAATATTACCTCAGCCCTTTTAAGGTATTAGGTTCATTTAAATAACATTCTAGAAATTTCGGCCGGGTGAAGACCGCGGGGCCACTGTTGATCAGCTTGCCGTAATTTCGGATTATGTACGAAGGAAGGAAGACGGCAAATCAGTTCCCGTTGGGTCGCCCGTAGGACAGAATGAATCGCCAATACCCATTGGTTCTCACGCACAACATAGGAAACAAATAAGAGAGAATAACGGGATACCTAGCATGGCCCTTAAAAGGGCCGGTTGTCCTGGTGTAGGAAACGACAGATGAGAAGTGTAGGGTGCGGTGGGCAGGGAACCGAGAAGCATGGGACGAAAGCTTTCCCCTCGAATCCTCGACTCCTCCATCCTTCATGGCATGCCTACGACCTACACCAATAATACATTATTATAGTGACACCACGGCAAGAATCCGCTCTCTCCCCCTTCAGTTCACGGGAATCACGCTATGCATAAGCACGTGGCAACATTTACTAGTGACACACGCTTGATGTTGGTTGACATAGGCCAGAGGGCCGGAATACATCTGCAGGTAGAGAAGAGGAAGCCTGGAGTGATTTCGTTGTACATGGTACCTCTTTCCGCGGCCTCGGCAGTCCCACGATGAGAACCCGACAGGTTCAAGCACGCTGCCTTGCTGGGCCATGTTCGGGAGTGTTCAGCGGCCTCATACTGAATTCAGGTTCACACGTCATGAATCGAACCGATGATAAAATTACATTCTGAACAGACTGGTCTAGAGGCAACGCCCTAGGTATGTATTCGGAAGGGGTTAGGTTCGAATCTGACTGGCTATCCTGATACATATTCTTAGTGTTTTCCTCAATTTTTCCAGGCAAATGCTGGGCTATTCTCAGAATAAGACACGCCCACCTCGTTCCAAAACCTTTCATTCCACCGTCCGGTGCTAACAGTTCAGACACTGAGAGCGCTGTAAAATAACCCACAGGTTAATTCATTCCTCGTTCTTCTTAACTCTGTTTATTTACCTTTCTGTTTCTAGTGGTCTAGTGGTCAGAGTTCCTGGCTAAAGATCCAGAGGTCCAGGTTCGATTCCCTGCGCTACCAGATTTTCTGAGAAACAGCTGGTCTAGTATTATTATTATTACTGGGG